TTGGAAGTCACAGTGACCCCTATACATAGTGGTTTCTCCTTATTGAGCACTTTTCACCAGGTACACTGAGAGAAGGATTTTTATTCCCATTTCCCACTTTCTAGACAAAGTGCTTGAGACTCTCAGAGGTTAGCTCACCTGCCTAAGACCTCAGAGCTAGACAGTGTTGTGCCCGAGTCGCAAAACCACCACAGAGCCAATATCCGATGCAAGCACACAGGGGTTTATTAATAACAAAACAAGCCCAGGGCTTTGTTTGTGTCCAACATTCGACACGGTGTGTGGAGGAGAACGGCCCTGAGCACTCACTTTACGGTGTTTGAATAGGAAAGGTTTACGTGGGTTACATATCTCAGGATTGGATGAGGGGGCTGGGGGTGAGGTAGTTCTTTGAAGTTGCTGGCTGAATTATAAGCACGAAATTACTAGTGGCTAACAGGATGCAGGGTATCTACAGAGACATACATTTTTTTTTCCCACTCCCTATGTCCTTTTATACCAAGTCTAGGATATATAGATTTATTGTTCCAGCCTTATCTTCCCATGAGTTCAACATCTGGTCAGTTCTAAAACTGCTGGTCAGCAAATACCTTTAGAGGAGGGGTCGGGGAGGGAGCGTCTCTCAAAAGGGCTACTGATTTTTTTCCCTTTTAACAGGAAGGACAGACTCATAAGCGAGCCTATAGGATTCAAGAACATCTCTTCTGTAGGGCTTAGGTCTGAAATGTCCTCCAAAACATTTTGCACAGACACACAAAGTAGCTAATGCAACCCCCCCTTTCCACTGAGGTGACCTGATACAAGGCGTCACAGCACTTCCTGAGGGACATCAGGATCCTGTGTAAACATAGACTAGATCTAGAATAAGAGAGCTCTAAGCAGGCAATTACCGACTTTATTATTTTATTGTCCCCAACAGGGTGTGTTCTCTGAAGTTTCCTGAAAAGAAAATATGTCCCCATTAGCAATGCAATAAGCCAGTCAAGCCAAATTAGTAAGTCCAGGTTTAGTAAACAGAGCGAAGCAATTCTTAGGTGACCCCCGGAAGACAGGAGAGAGAGCACATGGCTGGTCTGGTGACCAGGTCTTAAATACCCTGTAGGCATGGTCTTGAGGAGCCCCAGGGGAGGGGCTGACCTGTGGCGAACTTTCTGAGGGCCGGGTCTGGAATGAGAGGAGTGGGTCCAGCACAAAGGTTCCCGACAGTTCCTGAGATAGCAATAAAAGAGATTTGGGCTATGTACAGATCCATCCTGTCCCTCAGAACAGAGCAGAAAGCCAGCATGGAACCTTCCAAATGACTATCCATTCTCCCATCCAAACAATGTTTCTTCCATGCCTAGGGAGATAGGAAAATGTGAGTTTTAAGGTCAAATACAGCTGGTCTGGAGCCTAGGTTCTGTCCTTTCCCAGAAAATGACCTTGAACATATTTAGAATGTCTCCAAACCTCAAGGTCCTCATTTGGCAAATGAGAAAGATAATAGTTGCCAAGACAGAATGAGACCATGCCTACAGCAGTTTGCCCAGTCCTGACAATAGAGGGTACTTAATAAACAGCATCCATTCTAGGTGGTGGTAGCACACACCTTTAATCTCAGCACTCCCAGAGGCAGAGAGACAGGCAGATCTCTGAGTTTGAGGCCAGCCTGGTCTACATAGTGAGTTCCAGGATAAGCTCCAAAGCTACAGAGAAACTTTGTCTCCAAAAACAAAATTAAATAAACAAACAAACAAATAGCATCTATTGGTTGTAGTATTAAGGCAACTCCACGTAGTTAAAAGGGAGGTTTACTTTGTGGGGTAATTTACAAGTGAAGGGATAAGTTACAGGGTCCGGGAAAAGTGTAGCGCAGTCTGGCGGTGTTCTCTGGAGAACTCTGCTCGATCTGCTTCCCGAGTCCAGGATCCGGAACCAAGAGAGCCAGCACATCTAGATCTCAGGTCTTAAGGGCTCCTGTCTTGGCCCCACCTTGTAGGCGTGACAGTGACGGAAGCCTCAATGGGGGTAGTATTTCCAGGTCAAAGCTGAGACAGCCACCCACTACAAGCATCCATAACCAGCTGTATCTAGTTACGAATTTCTTCTCAAGTGTGACCCCACTGGGGATTTAAAATAATTCTACTCAAGAACGTTACCTCTTTAAATAATGGATTCTGGAATTCTTTTACTTTCAAGGTAAAAGGAATGAAATATAATGACAAAGTTACGAACCACAGAAACCAATCTTCGCTCAGTCTCCGTCATGTGGCACTGCTTAGGTGATTACCATGCACAGCGTGCCCTTGGAGCCACTCAAATGGATGGGGTCTTTGCTCATGCACCCCAGCTCCTCATTCTAAGGATTGCTTTGTCCAAATAGAAGGCTTGAACCCAGTGAACTCCACTGCAATTGGGTTCCTTATCAGACTACTAGGCAAAAGATAAAATTGGGTGTGTGTGTGTGTGCATTTAGGGGGGCTGTTGATTTTGTTGTTATTTGTTTTGTCTTTGCTAAGGTTGGTTGAGTGCTTTATCCTGTAAGCCAGTGGTTCTCAGCCTTCCTAATGCTGCAACCCTTTAATCCAGTTCCTCATGTCATGGTGACCCCCAGCCATAAAATTATTTCGTTGCCACTTCATAACTGTAATTTTGCTACTGTTATGAATCATAATGTAAATATCTGATATGCAGGATATTGACCCCCATAAAGGGTCGAATTGAGAAACACTGCTGTAAGTTAAAAGCCGACCATGTATTCTCCAATTCAGTCTCAGGACGTTTGGAAAGACAGACATAATTATTTTCATCACTTTACAAATTAGGAAGTCGGGGCTTAGAGAGGTTTATGTCACTTCAGCAAGATCACCCAGGGAGAGCATAGTGAAGCAGGAAAACAAGCTAACCCCACTGGCCTCAAAGATGGAATTCTTGTTCACCATTTTATTCCATCAATGTTTAAAATGGACTTCAGTCACTTTTTTTATGGACATAGTTTTTCACTTTTTTATTTGTATGCCTATAGGTGTTTTGCCTGCATATATGTCTGTGTACCAAGTGTGTGCCCGATGTCCAAGGAGGCCAGAAGAGGGTATTTCCCTTGGAATTGGAGTTACAGCCAGTTGTGAGCCACACACACCACGTGGTGCTGGGAATTGAACCTGGGTCCTCTGGAAGAACAGCCAGTGCTCTTAACTGCTGAGCCATCTCTCCAGCCCCTAACTCTTTCTCTGTGTATGAGTGATTGCCTGTATGTTTGTGTATCACACATGTACAGTGCCCAGAATGGCCCAAAGAGGGTGCTGGACCTGGAGTTACAAACAGTTATGAGCTGTCATATGGGTGCTAGGAACTGAACCCTCAGCAAGAGCTGCAAACACTCTTAATGGCAAAGCCTTCTCTCCAGCCACCCCACCCCTTTAAAAGTAACTTTTATATTTTCTTGTGCTCTCAGATATCTGGAAAATCCATCTCTTGAGATCAATAATGTGCTGAATTTTTAACAACTGGCCTCCAAAAGTCAGTGCTTGTTAATTTCTGTGGTGGAAATATTGCCACTTGATGGCCACAGACAAAGCACCTGAGTGTCCTTAAAAGCTTGCTAAAGTGCCAACAGTGTAACCATCTGCTCCGAAAAAATAGGTTCTCATGCACACATTGCTCCAGCACACCAAAGCCCAGCGTCCAAGTTAAAGATAAGCTATTTCTTGGCCAAGCATGGTGGCATATGCCTTTAATCCCAGCACTTGGGAAGGCAGAGGCAGGCGGATCTCTGATGAGTTTAAGGTTAGCCTGGTCTACATATTGAGTTCCAGGACAGCCAGAGCTCCAAAAAATAAAATACAAAAAAGACAAGCTATTTCCCAAGTGCATCATCCTTTGTAGGTCAGTCGTTTTTTAATTCTGACTTCACATTTGAGTCACTGGTGCAAACCTAATGCCCCACCTGCAAAGATTCTGACTTAATCCAGTCGGGGTGTTGTTTTTAAAGTAAATCTCAATCTTACCATATTACCGATAAAGACTCTGTAGTCAGATGCTGGGGTGAAAACCTGCTAGCTCAGAGAGGCTGAGGGGCAGCCAGCTGACCTTCCTCCTTAGCCAACTCCGGGGGGGGGGGGGGGGGGGAGCTGCTCAACGTCCCTCCCTACTACTTCCTGTTCGTTTTCTCCATCTGTTTTCCTGACTCCCTCTGATCCTCTATGGCTACTTCCTGTCATCTAGTTGCTGGCTCCGCCTCTTGACTCATGGTTGATCTTCTTTAATTAATGAAATCTCAGGGTTCACAGTGTGATCAAATATCCCACAACAGGGTGTGGCCAAGACAGCAGTAACACTAACCTAAACTCCCCCGCATTGGTATGTGCAGCAGGGATTGAGAAACACTGTTCTAGGAAAATGATACCCTAGCCATCACTCACACTCAGTAGAGATGCCAAGATAAGAGGTGATACCTCTAATCTACATGACTGGCATTTTTCCAACTTCAGATTTTATAAGTTTAACTCTTGAGAGCAACTCATTGTGCTTGTTGATGACATTTTATTTAGATTAGTTCCATTGAAATATGGCTTCTAGATGTGGCCAGATGACTGGGTGGGTAAGGGTGCTTTGTTACCAAGTCTCCTGACCTGAGTTCTAGTCCCAGGATGGTGGTGGGAAGATTTCTACTTAGGTATCACCTAGCACAACAGGGAGCAAAGGCAGAGACCAAGTGTAGTGGCTCACGCCTGTGACGCTAGTGCTCAGAAGACTGAACTCACTCCACACTCACACGAGTGCGAGAGCATACACACACCCCAAACCATCCCCCCATAGGTGTGTAAATTTAATAAAGCATTTTTTAATGCCTTCTCATTTAAGCCCTGAGTGGTATATAATAGAGTGTGGCCATTAGTATTGTCATTGTGTCGGTCACTTTACAGGATTTTCAACAACTTTTGTGACTATCTTGTCCATGGACTTTGTAATTTGCTTCCGGTTGAGTCTCGGGTGATTGATGTGCATGTGTTTGTTCCCAGGACAAACTCTTCAGCACCTCTCCCCAAACAGACCCAAGTTCAGGGATCTCCCTCTCACTCGGAACAGCCTCGCACCTCTGCCGGACCAAAAATGTAAGTACTCGGGTCCCCTCCCACCCTCATCCCCAGCTTCCTCCCCAAGCATTAACACGTCTAGACAAACTCAGCAGCATTTCGCTTTCTTTTTGTTTTTCGAAAGAACGCCAGGTGCCAATACTTGTGCACAACCTAAAAGGTCCTTGAAATTAGTAATGTCTAATTTAAAAAAAAAAAAAATCTTTTCTCCCCTCAGGGAATTTTGTTCGAAACACAATAGTGGGAGTTTATTAGCTATGTATTATTTAATGTCTTTAAGAATGTACTTTAAGCTAGATGTGTTGGGACATGGCTTTAATTCCAGCACTCAGGAGGATCAGAAGTTCGAGTCTAGTCTTAGATGTATAACGATGGAATTTGAGGCCTGCTTGTGCTACGTGAGACGACTCTCAGAAAGGCAGGGAGTCTGAATATGATTGATTTCTTTACTGTGTGGGACCCAATGGTTATTTACTTGCAAAGTAAACATTCCTAAGCAGAAAGGAAGTACTTGACGTATTTGGTTTGGTTCTGTTTTGTTTGAGACACGGTCTCACTGTGGAGCCCAATCTGGCCTTAAAATCTCAATTCTCCTGCTTCACCCTCCCAAATGTAGGATTGCCAGTCCATTCCAGCACGCCTAGTTTCTTTTGCTTTCATTCAGCTAGCTTTGTTTATTTATAGTCACAATATTTTATGTAAAACTCTCATAATGTAAAACATACTCTTCTTAGACCAGAAACCTTCAAACTGAATAAGCCCAAATATCACCTGGCATGCTATTCTAGGGGACCCAACACGTAGAAATGATGAGTTTATAGATCCTTACACCCACACTAGGAGGCAGGTTTTCTCCCAGTGTGTGCCCACTAGGCAGGCAGGGAAACTAAGTTCAGAAAGGACTTGTCCAGCATCACGCAGGTAGCACCTAGCACAACCGGGAACAAAGCCAGAGGCCAAGCATGTTGCCTCCTGCCTGTCGTGGAAGGGCTCAAAAGGCTGAAGCAAGGGGACAGAATGTGAGGGCAGCCTATGCCACGTAGCTAGTTCAAGTACAGCCTGAGCGATGTAGATACTCTCTAAAAAATAAATAAATAAATAAATAAACAAACAAACACACAAAAACAATAAAACAAACAAATGTAAAAGCTAATCCGCTACCTCATGAAACAAGCCAGTTTAGTTTCTTCTTTGTACACAATCCTACCCTGTTTAACATACACGTACACGCATTCACACACACACACACACACACACACACATATACACACACACACAAAACCCCTCTGCATTCATCTGTGAGTTAGATCATTTTGGAACTGGCCTAACAATTACAGACAGGCTCCTAACCCTTTCCCCTCTGTTGCTGCAACAATAAGGCCAGCATGATGAGACTGTCAGGATTGCATGAGACAACATGTGTACATGCCTGAGACACTTAGCACCTTTATCAACACAGAGTAAGTTGGCAAGATGCCCTTTCTCCCCCAGGCGAGAGTTTGGATGGGGCCAACCAAGAGTCCTAGGACTCCAAGTGAAAGCAGTGAACTCTGGGGTCACGGCACAATGTCATCTCTTCATAGTGATGTCAATTCAGAGCTGGAGCCGTCTGTCCAAAGTCAGGGAGTTAGAAGAGAAAGCCAGGATTCCTCCTTGACAGACCGACCCTCCACCCTTACTGACTTGGGCAAAGTGAGGGCTCCGAGTGGGGTTGATTTTTCTCCCTGGGGACTCTCCAGCCTGCACTCACCTTTATCAGCTCCCTTGGCCTTGTATGTGGCCTGGTAAAGCCAGAGAGGCTTTCACAATTTAATTCCAGGAGACAAGACAAAGATCTCTAATCAATTTTGCTGAATGCAAAGAAATCAGACAAGCCGAACTGTTCCTGAAAGAAACCTGAGAGCCTTTGGAGGTTCGCATGAAAGCAAATGTCTCCAGGCTTGTTCAGATCTGTGTGCTCAGCTGCTGCAGCCCAGAGAACTTCTCTGCCAGGCACGCACAGCCAGGTCACGTGGGATCAGAGCTGTTGCAATCCTGTATTTGTGCATTTTTCAAATCCCTCACGTGTAGGAAGCCTGATTAGATGTGAACACACAGCTTTTCTCCTTAGTCCAGCTCCCACCAACACAGGCTTCTCAGAACAATCTCCCCCTCCTTGAGACATGGCAGGATCCCACTGTACCATCCCCTGGTAGCCTCTGGGAGAAGCAAATCTCCAAGGTCTCTCATTCTATCCTCTCCAATCCAGTTCTATCTGGAGAACCCCTGAGAACAAACCGAGTCCTTCCAGCGATCCCAAGCCAGCGAGGACATGGCCCACCAGCCGAAGAGGGCGAGCGGTCTGCCGATTCCACCCAAGATGAAAACTAACTGCAGACGCTCTCTGTGGAAATCTAGAAGATATGTATTTTTCAGCTCTCTAGGGGTGAGATTACTCTAGTTTCTATGAACAAAGTCTTAACTTAGTAAGCTGTGTTCTACAAGCCATTCACAGTTTTATAATTCAAGATTCCTTATTTCAAACAAATACACTAGCTGAACATGCACTTAGAATCTTTGGGTGTGCAAATGTTACCAAGTCAGTGAGTTTCTGTGGGCCCCCTACACACTGTAATTCAGAAACGAAACACATTACTGGCAGGAAGATTTAGGATGTTTCATTAATGTTTGTGGCATGTTTGCTGTTTTGTCTCAGTTGTTTTTTGTTTTTTGCTTTTTTTTTTTTGCTTCTTAGATGATTTTCTGTAATTTTTAAGTATATGCTTTGCTGAATTAAAAATATACATATATATAAGAAAAGTAAACCTAGGCTTGTTCTTCACATTTATTTCCATCCTTCCTTGGCCCAACAAAACTGAATTAAAATTCAGTACTAAATTCCTATTGTGGTCACAGTGTATGACTTTGAAATGCACAATCTTCTGCAAAATATTTTGATATCGTCGGCTCTTGGCTTAAACCCAAGTCACTTGATGGTGTTTATGTCTCGTCCCTGTTATTTAATTATTTCCACCTTCTGTTGTGTTCAGCTACATCTGATGACCCTGTAATAAGAAGGGTCACTGGGAGCTAGCAGCGTGTGCTTCCTGGCCTGAGAGAATTTCAGGCTGGAGGCCTTGCCTAAAGTCACATTAGGTGACAGTCACTCCATGTTATATCGCCGGGTCTGCAGGTTTTGGAAATACAGCAAGGGTAGCATTTACTACTTTATATTGGGTTTATTCTCTGGTGAGACTAGACTCTGCTGTCATGATATAGAGCCTTCTTCTTGCGGCATATTGCAGGACACGATGTGCACCCTCAAACACTGACACCCGCGCCCCTCCCCCCCCCCACGCTCCTGGGAGGGAATAGAGATGTAGAGAGGGAGTCGTCAAGGGCAGGGGTAGTAAGAAGTGATAAGAGGTGGAATCCATCCAGTCATGGTTGTACTTGAGCCTGTGAAAGCAAAAGCAGATGGCTCAACCCCCTACACTGAGCAGAAGCTGAGGAAGAGCAATCCCCTGTCTCACAGAGGAACCTTTTCTTTTAACCTTTTCTTATTTATTTTACATCCCAAGCGCAGTTTCCCCTCCGTCCTCTCTTCCCGTTCCCCTTCCCCCACCACCACCACCACCTCCCTTCTGCCCCCCATCCATTCCTCCTCGGTCTCTGTTCAGAAAGAGGCAGGCCTGGGATTGGGGGGTGGTGGGGGGACGACACATGGAGCTCCCTGGGAAGGTGAAATAGGAGAGATCTCATGGGTGGGCTGGAGTTAGGTGGGAGTGGCCAAGCAATGACTGATCCAGCCTGAGACACATGTCACAAGAGTGAACCCACCTCCGACACTGCCTGGAGTGCCAGGACCCAGAGGCTGGATGGCCCAGAGATCTAGGATAGAACCAAACCTGATAGAAACAGGTGTAGACCCACAGCCGAACATTGGGCCTAGCTCAGGGATCCTGCTGAATAGAAGGAGGAGGGACTGTATGAACCAGAGGGGTTAAGGAACTTTAAGATACAGCTTCTGGGAGTTTTTCTTTTTTTGCTGTTTTGTTTGTGGAGAGCTTTTGTCTTTGAAGCTTACCTGTTTGTAAGCATCAGACTGTTAACTTGTTGAGTGTCTCAGCAGGCTACTTTAGAATCCATTTTCACCCACTAGTAAATGCCTTTCCCTGTACTGCCTAGACTAGCCGGGGTAGGCCAGCTTCTGCTCCAATAATAAACATCCCCAACATCTCATTGGTCAAGGCATTTTGTTCCTCAGCCACAGTACATGTCCCATACCAGTTGACAGAGTTAGCTAGTATAGATTCCATCTCGACGTGGTTTCCGTGGTGATCAAGGCAGGGGAAATGAGCTGTGAGTCACTGTTTCCTCTCACGTTTCTTTTGACAAATCAAATTGTGTGGACGTGTGACTAATCTCAAATGGGAGAGGCGTACGGACACTCAGTCTCTCTGTGTTTGTAGAAAAGAGGGAATTAAAAATATTTATGCTGGGCAGTGGTGGCGCAAGCCTTTAATCCCAGCACTCGGGAGGCAGAGCCAGGCGGATCTCTGTGAGTTCGAGGCCAGCCTGGGCTACCAAGTGAGTTCCAGGAAAGGCGCAAAGCTACACAGAGAAACCCTGTCTCGAAAAACCAAAAAAAAAAAAATATTTATAAATGATCATCACAATGACCACAGCTAAGCAGAGAGGACCCCTGACTGAGCAGATAAATCGAAACAGAATTTTAAATGTATTCAGCTATGGATAAAGCCACCATCCCCTAACATCTGGGTTGGCTTAGGTGCACACACAAAGAACTTTCCAGTGTTGGGCTTTTTGCTCAACTTGGCACGGGAATTTTGTTAGCTATAAAGATGTGCTATGCTGCCACCGCTGCCTCTTCAAACAGAGCAGCTGCCCTCCTGCCATGAGGTGAAGTGGCTTAGGGCACAGGTTGATCGTCGGCCACCCTTTAACTGACAAAACCAGTGTTGAGCGCTGCAGTTTAAAGACGTCATCTCTGGTTGGGCGCTATTAGGGAGCGGCAGAATCTAAAAGGGATGGGGCTTATTAGGAACTCTTCTGCCCACTGGGGACCGCAAAGGGAACACTGGGATCCCTGGCTGGGACCTCCTGTTTGTATGCCTCATCCTGGACAGGCACCATGCACTCTCAAGCATGGTGCGCTGCCTCCTATGGACCAGAAAGCAGCAGGGACAACTGACCAGGAAGCCAGACCTCCCAAATCGCAAGTCAAACTAAGACTTTCCTCTTAGAGCTGAGTACTCAGGAATGTCAAGACAGTAGCAGAAAGCTCACTAACACACTAACACACTAGGGAGGCACGGGAGGTGGGGGGGGGGGGTGCCGGGAAATCACCAATTAGTCCTTTTCAAAAGTTTCAAGCAATCTTTTCTTCTAAAATTTGTTGTTGTATTGCTTACACTTCCCTTCATTACTAGGCATGTTGCTGTGGGATGTCTTTCTGTATGCTGTGAATATGTGTGACTCCCATTGGATAAAAAAAATAAAGCTGCATTGGCCTATGGCAGGGCAGGATAAGGTTAGGCGCGACATTCAAACTAAGACGAGATGAAGAAGGGTGGAGTCGGGGGAGACGCCAGCCTGCCGCTAAAGGAGCAACAAGATGCCAGCAGACCCGTAATGCCACGGCCACATGGCCACATATAGATGAATAAGAATGGGTTGAATTAAGCGAAAGAGCTAGCTAATACAAGCTGAAGCCATTAGGCTGTACAGTTTGTAATTAACATAAGCCTCTGAGTGATTATTTTATAAGCGCCTGTGGGACTGCGGGTGGGAGAGATTCATCCCGACTGCGGGACCAGATGGGACACAGAGCAACTTCCCTCTACAGCACGCGTCATTTGTAAACAAACTCTTTCATTTGACTTACTCTGTAACATATAAGATTGGTCCAGTCATTTCCCCAACCCCCCTCTCTTACAAGACAAATAATTTGAGGCAGAAAGAGAAGTTAAGAAACTTGGGCCAAATTCTATGGCTATTAAGTGGCAGAGCCAGGCTTACCGAGAAGGTTTCTTTTGTCCCACAGCCCACATACAGAATGCCCAGACTATCATTTTCCTGGTCCAGAAATGCATTCTCATTTCATAGTGCAGTAAGTCCTTCTTGACTTTTATGCCGTTCTGTCCATCTGCACAGGCAAACTGAAGCTCCTGTCACTATTTGCAGGAAGTACACAGAAACTGAGTACTTTGTGTTAAATCCTCAGGGCTGTGGGAAGTCACGGTTCTTTATTTCTTAGTTCCCTGTGGAAATCACCTGCCTTAAAACTGGGGTCACTTCTCCTCGTAAATACGTAACTCCATTGTTCTCACCTTCTTGGAATTAAGCCAGTATAAATATATTTCTGCAACTCTAGACTATTTATTTTAACTCTACCAAAACACAGCTTGACGCTCAGTGTGATTTAGAAAAGCCCACTAAGTAACAGGTTAGAAAGAAGACAAACATAATCATTAATTTTGCTTTGGCCTCTATTCTTTTAAATTAACCCATGCTTGTCTTCCAGCAAATGCTTCCTGGCACTTGGCGGGTGGCCTTGAAAACAACCCCTTGGAGACAGGGTCAGAATGAGGTAACTAAGAAAGCATCATATTTGACCTTAGCGTGAAATATAGTGCCCAAGCGAACAAAATTTAAAAAGGAGCGTGATAGCAACTCTTGCATATAGAGAGCTAGTCTCTTAGCATATCCCAGGAAAAATAACATTTAAAATCAAGTAATTCAATTAGAATTGCATACTTCTTAGACATTAACATGGAAATATTAATTAAGATTGGTAGATGAAGACTGCCAAGCAACTTTGTTTGTAGCTGAGTGGCAGAGGGTTTGCCTGATGAATGAAATGAGGACCTGATAGCTCCAAGGTGTGGGTGAGGAGACAGTTTTAACTGTAGATATGAAGGAGAGAACAGCCAGAGGCGTCTGGAAGAGTCCAGAGCAAGAAAGCAGTAGTCTGAAGACCACAGTGGACTGAACTGGGCCATTGAGAGGAGATGGGGGTGGAACAAGAGAGCCAAGAGGAGAGAGAGGGTAAAAAGAGAGGGGGGGAGTGAGAGAGGAAGAGAGAGGGAGCAAAGGAGACAAGAGAGGACAAAGGGAGAGAGAACCAGAGGACCAAGAGGGTTTTATAGCAATCAGAAGCTGGGGGAAGGGAAGCTAAGCACTCCCATGGGCTGGAGAGGTTTAGGCAGGGGGTAGATGGGAAGAGCTGAGAGGATGCTGAGGTGAATGAAGTGAGCCTAGGCCCGTGTGCCATACAGTTAGCCATTTGTCCTGACACCTAGCATGTACAAGCCTGTGGGTTAGATTCCTAGTGCATGCCTGTGTATACACACACACACACACACACACACACACACACACACACACACACACACACGGCCTCTCAAAGTAAATGCCCTCTGTTGTAAGTTCCATTCAAGTCTAACTTTGGTTTTCTTGGGTGATTGACCAGGTTCCAGAATATCTTCAGAAGTCAAATCTGGGAAATCAGTTGAGTAAACTGTATCAAAAGCTAGAGCGTTTCCAGTCAGCAGGTTATACACACAGCTGTGACTAGTAGGATAAAAGTCGTTTTCACACAGATGTTTGAAAAACAGGAAATGAGTTGTTGATCATTAAATTCCTACTGTAATTTTTTTTTTCATTAATGGTGAAACGTCTTGCAGTTGCTAGCAAACTACAGGCTACAAGAAAGCCATTCCAGTCAGCTCAGGAAGATGAGATAGAATGAACTCGTTGACACTAAAGGGGGAGCTCATCTCTAAGATAGGAAGGCAGGGGCAGGGCAGAGTATTTGACCACGTATGCATAGTGGATGCAGATAACCAGTATCTCCGGTGCATGTACTGACAGTG